AACGCGGTGGGTACTGATTGTGAAGCCAGCGACGCGGTGTGCCCTGTGGTGCGTGCCCCAGCGCCCTCCATTGACCGGGCCTCCATCCCTTCCTCGGCGTGGCGAGGGACCCCCTCCTGAGCCAAGTCGTCTGTGGCCTCGGTCCCCCTGCTGTAACAGTAGACTTCCTCCTCCGGGGTCCGTGCCAGCGCTGAGGGGGTCCAATAAAGAGGGGGGTCATTAGAAGGAGGAGAGCCACCCCCTTCGTGGGGGGCAGGGCGTTTGGACTCCTCCACCCCCCGCTTTTATCCCTCGGCAGGAATCGCTGTGGTGGCTCCTGGGCCTGAAGCCGGGCCGTGTGGGACTGAGGCGACCTCCCCAAATGCAGCCCCTCGAATAGAAACAAGGAAAACGGCATCACGTCGGCGACAGAGGGTCCCGACCTCAGCTGAAGCTTCGCCATGATCGAATTTGAGGGAACCAAATTGGAAAACAACACGAGGCTGTTTTCTTGCTCGGTTAACGGCTCTAGCGTCACGCTGGCGGTGGTGGTCTGGGAAATATCCAGGGAGGAGGCGGCGACCTCCAAGGCAGGATGGGGAAGAATTTTACACGACGGCGTACGGAAGCCCATGGCGATGCCACAACAGCAGGTCTCCTGCTCGGAATGAAAGGTTGCGTCTTTTCCTAACGCAAGCTGAGAACCGGTGATCGGTCCTTCGCCTTTATCACGACCTCCACCATTTCGGACGTGCGCAATATGGTTTTCTTTGGAAGCTTCTAGCAAACCTTGTAGTCCCGCCGACAATTGGAAGGGGTGATGATGGTAAGAGGATAAAAAGTTGTGCGTCCCCTCCTTATTCGCTAATTCAGAGAATATTCTCGAAGCTCTGGGTCCTGTTTGCATAGAACCCGGGATGCCGGTAGTCACCGACCTCACATGCGTCTCTTGGTTCAGCTCAGTGCACCCCCTCATATTTTGCGCAATCATGTCACAAATATAAGGCTTACAGTTTCAAAAACAATTCACCTCTGTCTCTTTATTGATGTACTATTTTCTTGTGAACCCAATTTTACAATTAGGTGACGCTTTCGGAAGAGTATAACTTGATTTGGGGTTTTTATGTGGTGAAAGCAAGATTTTATTCTATTCTGATATTTCTGCTCTATGAATAATAGCAATAGAAATAATTTTTACCTTGGTGATGTTAAAATCGGAAAAAAAATGCAGGATAAATGCCTCTGTGTTCCCTTCCAGTTTATTACATTATGAGTGAGTGAAAGTGGAAAGAAAAATTGAAGCCAAAAATATTAAAGAATCATTTAGTTCGTTTTGCCCTTTTATAGATTGTTATTTTAGCGTTGTTATGTGTACTAATATAACTCATACCTTCCAAGCAGATTAAAATAAAATAAAATAATTTCGAGGTCCTTATCTGAAAATCGAACTCTTAATCACTCAGTTCGAAATAGCTTTTCTTTCCCTTATATAAACATACGTGTTTGTAGTATTACTAATACTTATTTACCACTGTTGATACATAACATACTACCCGATAGTAATCTTTTTTTAAGTAAAAAAATACTCAAAATTACCACTTTAGGTTTGTTTAATTTTAAGACAATAAATATTCTCATCCATAAATAACACGATATTTCATATTGATTACCTTAACTAAATTTCAGATTTAGCTTATTTGTCTTAGCTAATACTCTGCATCTGGAAAGATTCACGTTTACGAAGTGATAACGGAGGTAGGGTGCTCCTATGGAACCCACTCCCGTGAGTGAGACTGGTAAAAAAAAAAGTAACTTAATATCCCACCACAAGGATGAAGTTCTATGTTGGTATAAACAAGTAGTAGTTCAGAGACATTCTGAGTCCTTTGTAATTTAACCAATTCATTTTCAGAAGGTCTCAGAAATCTACTAGATCAGAATACATTGTCGGGTAGCCGACACGTGCACTCGGTTTACAAGTTTCAAGACTAAAAATTAGTCTCATCTTGGTATAGTTTATTTTCGTTTCGCGAGAAAAAATAGAAAAATCTATCTGAACGCATTTAATGTATCTTCTCTGTTGTTTACAAATCTCCATGAATGTAGAAATGTATATTAGAAATTAATAATAATAATAATAATAATAATGCAGCACAACGAAATAATGTGTGGCAATTAATATTTATATAAATATATATACAAAGAAAAAAAGTAAGTGAAAAAAAGAAAAAATCCGAAAAAATAACGCTACAGAAGCTGATTTTCTGAAGTGCTTGCTTCCTCGTTCATACAAAATTTTAGGTTCTTCAGTTACTGTATATATAATTATATATTTAAAACGTTTGTGTTCCTAGCTTTGTAAAGTATATAGACTACAAAACAGAAGTGTTGAAAAATGTGGCCAAACTAAATGACTTCTATGAATATTCACTTATTTTTCTCTCCCCATAATAAAAAAATAATAAATTACCATTGGAACTTATCTATGAAAGAAATTCATAGAAAATTACTTCTGAGCAAAACAAATTAAACGATACATATAGAAACACAGATTTGATTGGATCAAAATCTTCTTTACGCTTGTATTTCAGGCTTTATCTGTTAATAATAGCATCGTATAATTGACGATCGCCAAAAGGTTGAAAAAATGCCCAAAGAAACACTTTAAACGACGGAGAAAGCTCATGGGATGAGGATGAAAATACATAAAAAGTGATAACAATAATAATAATGAGCAAATATGCCACTTTTTATTTTTCTACTGTTCCCTTACCATATGTATTTCGATATCATGAGAATAATATGAAATCGTGGCAATAAATGAAATACGATCGCTACAAAAAAATGCATTAATAAATATAAAACTATCCTTACATGAAATAATGGGGATGTGTTAACGTTATCATATGCAGTCCTTTTATTGGCCTATTTCATCCTAAGAAAGTGGTGAGTGATGAAAGGTAAGCGTTTGAAATTAGAAACTTTTAATATTTTTCAGAAGTGTTTCGCAAAAGGAAGATCACATTTTAACTTCTTTAAGGGGAAAAAACAGAGTAAAATGTTTCAAAGGAAATGTTACTTCAGATTTTTGGTTAGTTCAGAAACTAAAAATATTCTGTTAAGGAGGATATTCATGCTTGATAAAAAATGTGTATAGAAACAGACACGAATAAATTTAAAAAAGGTGACTTTGAAGCGCATAGAGAAAATTTTTTGAGGGAAAAGCAGCGTTTTATACTCCATTCAAGAAAAATGTGTTCGAAATTTGAGAAAACTGGTGAAAAGTCGAAAACATAATAAACTAACGAGCAAAATCGATAAGATATTTAGAAATTATACGTTGCGTCGCGTGATAAAGAAAAAAAATACTAGTAGCAGTATACATCGCTACATAGAAGAAAAATATATGCTATAAATTTAGAAATGAAACATTTGATAAGGTGAAAGAATAATTTAAAAAAATCAGAGAAAACGCGATGAAAGTATACTACTGAGAACGAATTCTTGAAAAGTAGAAGCTAATTTAAAAAAAGGATAGGAGAAGGAAAGACCAAAAAAAAGTAGAAAAAAATACTCAAGGTAATAATAAATCTGATAACCATTTATTTAGACTTTACTTGCTTTTACCAGTTCTTTTTGTTACTCAGAAATGCGTCCGAAATTATGCATGTAATCCTATTAGTAAAAGCATGTGTATACAAGCTATGAAAAGCATAGTTTAACATTGAATTTCTAAAATTCAAAGTTAAACGCTTTTCATCGAGCCTTTTCATTATTTCAGGCACAGTATTTATAATGTTTATGTCTCCTTTTCATTATTGAAAATTAAAACTAATTAAAAGAATAGCCCTTTTTTTCCCTTGGTCAAATTAGTGTATTTACCGAAGTAATGCATGATATTTTATGTTATTGATGATTAGCAGAAATAGTAATATAGATACTTGCGTAGATACCTACACGCTATACGATTACAATAGGTCGATTGGTATTCAACCCAAATAGTAGCTCATAAGTTGCCAAGCATTTCGCATACGGTCAAATGTGAAGCTTCATTCATGATCCGCGTTATCTCTGGAGTTCGCTTTTCCTCGACAAAATCCTCCAGGTAGGAAATGCAGTTGGGATTAAAAGGTATCGGGCATCCCCCACAGGGCTCCTCGGATTTTCGAGTGCTAGAGACGCTAGAATCGACATTGGGGGAATATGCATTGACATCCCTTTCTGAAATAGCTCCTTCAGAAGATTTCTTCTGAGAAGCCTCCTCCATGCATCGCGTGACGGAAAAGGAATAGGTGTGTGTGCCATGCTCTTCCAGGTTAATCTGAGCTTCTTGCCTTTCGTTATCTCCCGTAGTATCACATTCATCATCAGATTCCTTACTTTCTGTAGAAGCTTTCGGTATTTCCTCATTTCCCTTCGAATTGAATTTACAACATTTAAGATGAGACTTAAGTTGTAGTTCCGATTTAGCCATTGTGTTGGGAAACGTGAGGTCGGTCGCCATCAAAAGGTTTATTGAAGCCGGTGTTGAGAAAAATGAATGGGTGTCCTTTATCCTCGCTATTGTATTCGAGGAATGCTTATTAGCTTTCTTATCAGCTTCAGTTGTCCTCGCGAACAAGTGGCCAGTCGTGCGGTTGAAAGTAATGATGGAAGCAGTTGACGATGACATACCAGCCAGTGTACTGCCCAAACGATGGGGATTAAACACATCTGTGCTGGGTACGGTATGAATAGAATTTTTAATTGATAGACCAAATGTTTTTATGACTTTCGCCTTTGACATATTTGAACAATCAAAATCCACACATCGACTTGAAGACCACTTAATGCGTTCATTAGTCGATGAATACATTTGTTGTCGTAGTTTCTTGCAATTATATTTTAATTTTGCTTCCCGTTCTTTCGCTAAAGAAGGGGGTAAAGGTGAGTCCGTTTTGGAATTCTCCACTTTATTCCCTTTCTTCATGCGCAACTGATTTGTATCCAAATAAGAATTTTGATCCAAATAAGAATCTGTATCCAAATAAGAATTTGGATTCATGTGCATCGTAGCTGATGAAAATATAGGTTTAAATTTCGAGATGATCTTGTCAAAATCGTTTTAGCCCTTCTGTGTATATATTTATATACGTAAATAAAAATAATAGTTTTTAGTATATATTTGGTTTAAAAAATGTTTCCTTAGTTTTTAAGACTAATAAGTGGAAAAATTTATTCGATCTTTTCAAATAGAGAAGAATGGATTTTTTTAAAAAAAGGAGTATTTTAGAAAATTAGAATCTATTTACATCATAACCTTACAAGCAGTTAACAATAACTAAGAAAAAATAAATCGAGCGGTAACCAAGGACCTTTTTATTATGGAGTACAGAATTCCTAGGATGACTGAGAGATCTTAGCGATCAGCAGAAATAGTCCAGTATAAAATTTTCAACAACTGTCATAAAACAATTAACCGATACTGATTTTTTTTTTACTTTTTCGGTGCGTGGGACAGGTCTGCCCCTTAAGACACGCGAGACGCCAAATGGTCAAAGACCCCGCGGAGGAATCCCTTCGAAATAACGCCCACACGAGGACAGGACCCCCCCCCTTTTAGAGTTTATAAGCGCAGCGATCTTTAAAAATCATTCAGAGGGGGGGGGGGTAATGCGAGTCCGTCGCCCCGTAAGCGACAGGGAAGAGACGTGATGGGTGTGGGGTAGTTGGAGGGGGTCGCCAAGACAGCGGTCGTAGAAAAAAGAACCCGTGCAATGAGGTGGTCAACGAATTGGTTTCGCCGTTGGAGGAAAGCTGAGGAGTACTTTTGTTCTCAGAATCACTATAAGGTTTACACTGTCGGTGTGTATGTGTGTGTCTGAGTATATGTGTGTGGGTTATATCGTGTATTGGTCGATACTGAATTCCATTCTATCGGGTAAACTTCATATGTTAATCATAAATGCTACTTTTCCCTCCCAATGCTGAAGTAAATAACCTTTTCAAATAAAATTAAAAAAAAATGTAATTACTGGAAATCATTACCAGCACTCATAAGTTGGATTTTCATTCATTTGACTCACACTTTTTTTTTACTTATACTTTCGCACTTAGTCATGTCACGAGCAGTACTCTCTTTTTACATCAGCTTCATTGATATGATATAGTCACCGTAAAAATATTTGAAAAATACTTAGTAAATGCCAAGTTCTGATAATATAAAAATTAAATAAAATAGTGGAAAAAAACTCAATGGAAAAAACCATTATCGGCTGCGGTTCAGCAACAAAATTACTGATATTTTGTTTATATGAATAAAAAAAGGAGACGAGGTCCGTGTATTCATAAAAAGTGATGGACGATTTGCCTCAACTAAAAGGGGTAATTGTATTTGTAAAAAAAATGTTATAATAATTTATTTCTCGTAAATTTCCAAAGAAAGAGAAAAGTAAAGAGATAATTTAGAGATATTTCAAAAAAAATCTCTAAATATCTTCATTTTCTCAATTTCTTTTTATACTCTATTGTTATTATATGTTATTTACTCGGAAAGTCTGTATAATTTTGGGTCATCAAAGTGCAAATGGGTGCCTTCTGTTTGTAAACAAAACAAAGTGATATCAAAATATGCCAACAAACCATTTTAAGCAAAATGACATATTTTATTTCTTAAAATTGCTACTACAGCACCTCTCACATCAAAATTAATGAACGCTTTTTATATATATATAATGTGTTTCAAAACCTTAAAGTAGTAAATAAAAGGAAGAATATTTAAAGTCAATATCGGTTGCTCCATAAGTCTATAAAAATGAAGCTCTATGTAAGTTTTCCCACAAGCATACTCTCCGCAACTCGAATATTTTTATTTCTAGTTTCAGCCTAATTTGTATATCTTGCTTGATTACCAGATGTAAAAGAAAAAAAACTGCTCGTGCTTCAAGTATAGTTTCGCTTTGTTTAATAAATAAAAAATTAAGTACGAAAATTTAAATTGAAAAGGTGAGATAAATTTATAAGCCTAAATTCCAACATTAAAAATATGGCAATAACAGTTTAAACACAAAGCTATATAAAAATCACTCCCTTAATTCCTCTTTCCTGAAATGTCAAGCAAGAAAATATTGATAAAAAGGGTTACGTTTTATATAAAAATCATATTCAGACTATTGATATATATATATATATATAAACGTAAAAGGGGAAA